CATCTATAGGAGCGTATACTAGTAATTGTCAACTTGCTGGTAACGAGTGCTGTATTCTTGCAGAGTAGACTTGAGAGACTTTTGCGGATTTCTTTTCTGAACTAAGTATGAAAAATGTTTTTAATAACGGTCTGATTTGTCTACAGTTTCACATGTACTTTATCTACAGGTTTTGACTATACCTTCCCAACGTTCCATGCTGCATGTACTTACTGCCCTTAACGAAAATGTTGATATTTTTTGTGCAAAATTGTATATGACCCCCACTTCCCATTACCAAATACGAATATATTTTGGTGATAGTTTTGGATTTTTTTAAAAAAAAAAAAAACATTTCCTCATGTAAGATAAATTCTGGGGAAGAAGGAAACATTTTTTTAAAAAAACCAATCGAAATAACTGTTAATATCAAGTTTGTGTTTAAGATAACGTAAATGTGCCCTGTTGTTTAAGATAGGGGAAGTGGCAAGCAAGACATGTTTGATTGACCTAATATTGTATAAATTGAAATCTTCAGTATGTTATTCAGTTTTAGTTCACGCAAGAATTCTTAACAATAGTCCAAGGTAAATAAACTGAACACTTCATATGCAGGGTTTTTACTCCACTTAATAAACAACAGTGATTTCTGTTCATTAATACTTCAATGTCTTGGAATATTTTTGAATATTTTCCCTGAGTCACTGAGGGTAAATGCCACATAACCTATGTTGAAAATAAAATAGATAAGCTCATTATTTATACCTTTATTCAAAATAATTTTCTCAATGTCATAAAACAAATTTTTGATTGAGTGTATAGAAGGCCCTTAGACACATGCAATAAAATTGGGGATTTTTATTCTTTGCGGTAATAGGGTAGGGCCACAATAAGTGATCAGCAATGTGGAGGGGGAAAAGTATTTTAAAACAATATTCTTCTTCAGAACAGCCCAGCCATGTAGTGATAGTGTAAATTCAAGTTTGTTCAAATCATGGTCCCTGGAGGTAGGGTGGGCCACAATAGGAGATACACATTGAACTTAGGAATATATAGGAAAAAATCATTAAAATCTTTCATACGTACCATATCTTTCATACAAAAGTAAAAACATATAACAAAACATTTATTGATAGTGTTCTACTGCAACGTGCGTTTTGTCAAACTTTCGAACCAAACAGTTCGGTTCTTGGGTCCGCACATAGTGCCCTCGAACCCGGCAATAAACGTATATTATTGATTGAAAGCATTTTTGGGGTATAATGGGGATTCAAGTTTATTCAAATCATGGTCCCTGGGGGAAGGATGGGGCTACAATAAGAGATAGAAGTTTTACATGGGAAAATATAGAAAATAACATCTTTTCTTCTCAAGAACAGTGGGGCAATATTAATATGCAAGTATCTGCAAGTAGTGCAGATTCAGGTATATTGAATTCATGGTCCCAAGGATAGAGTCAAGACCCAACATGAGATCAAAGTTTTACATGGAAGTATGAAAAAAACATTCTTAATGAAGTGCACTGCAATGGCACATGATACAGAGATGCTCTTACAAAAATGATTAAGCCAGCCTTCTTACATTTAATCCAGTAAATAATCTTTAACTTAACAGAAGCAATTTTCACCTCTTATTAAATATCCAAATGAAATTGAAGAAGCTCTGTGCCTTAGAAGTACGCTCATGGGACAAATGGAATGTACTCTATCTGTTGTGTGATGAACTATAGTTAGGTCTCAGCATACTTGTAGTTACAATATTATTGCATATTAATGTCATTATTGTTAAAAACAAAAGAATTGTTTTTAAAAATGCTGTATGGCTGTATATCATGAAAAAAATGTGTATTTCTTGGTGTAACATTTTTTTGAAAGCATACTGCATAGTCTTACATTTGGGATTACCTCCCTTAAAATAATATATTATAAATATATATATATATATATATATATATATATATATATATATATATATATATATATATATATATATATATTATATATATATATATATATATATATATATATATATATATATATATATATATATATATATATATCACCTTAATTTAAGGTCACAGCAACCTTATTGAGGAGTGTGATAAACCTTCTACTTAAGATACATTATCTGTCAAAGTTCAAAGTTTCTAGGCCAATAATTTTCCAGTTATGAACAGACTTTGCCATATTTGGTCATATCACCATAATAAAAGGTCACAGTAGCCTATATTTTAGACCCAACACACCTTCTACCCAGAAGATGCATCAGTTGATAAAGTTTGATGATTCTAGGCCTCATACTATTAAAGTTCTAAGCCAGACATGAAAAAGCTAACAGACAGACAGATGGACATGTTCACGTACATAATACAGCCCATCAAAGATCGATGTATAAAATATGAAAAATCTTCTCAAGAACAGCGGATTAGTGATATTAATATACAAGCTTCCTCAGAAAGTGCAAAATCAACTTTGTTCAAAACATGACACTTGTGGAGTAGGGTTGGGCCAAAAGAGGGGTTCTTCTCAAGAACAGCAATATTAATATGCAAGCATACCCAGGAAATGCAGATCTTTAGTGGAGAAATAGAATTCAAAGAATTTACAGTAGGTATACAGGCTAGGAGTGCCCCTTACAGAAAATGCTTTAATAACGATGAAGTTTAATGGACTGACAGGCAAAAATCCTTCAATGCAAAAAGGTTTTGCATGAACTGACCTAAAAATAGAAAGCAATCTCTTTGAATACTATTTTACATAGCTTTTTATCATATTTAATCATCTTACACCAAGTACAATTTTACAAAGTATATGTCACTTTCAGCAGAATATAAGCCATCATTACTAAATAGCACACAATAAATAAAAGCAAGTGCTTGCATGTATGGACATTGCTATGAAACTAAATTTCCCATGTAATTATGTTTGCAATGACTAGCTTTCTAAATTGATGCTTTCCCGGTATCACCAAATTTACTTGTGTATATTTAGTGACTTTTGATACAAGTATGAAATATGCCATACAAAATACAAATATATATAATAAATTTCAAAACATGCTTCTTGGAGAAGGTTTCTCACATACATGCAAGTACCATACACTACTATAAAAAAGTATTTTATTATTATATTAATATTCACATCCATACCATTCATACAAGTACCAGGTAACATTTTATAATTTATATCTTAAATTATTCAGAGTACAAAAATCTCTGACAAAAAGTCAAATGCAGTCAAATTAATTATGCAGCATTTCTTTGAATAAATAACAATTGAATATTGCAAGCTAGCTTTTATCTCATATAATGTATAAAGTATATAAAAGAGTTAAAATTTAGATGCACTACTTCACATTGCAGGCATTATTTAATTCAAGAAATTCACTTGCAAGTTTCTTGAAAAAAATACCAGTTTCACTTAAAAATTACCAGTATACACATCTTTTTTAGGGAGAGGAGATATATGTATATTACAGATTAACATCCAAATTCTGTTGCAATATACAAAAAATGTACCCTACTTATATCAGTACCCTACATGACAGTGAAACACAAAAAAACCAACAATTTTTTGGGTTACCTTCCTTGTGAGAACTCCTCTATGAAAGAGAGCAAGAAAAGTAGACCAAGTGGGATAACTCTTAAATCTTAATATTGCTGGAAAAAATATCTTGTGAATCCAATATAAAATGAGTTTCTTTTAAAATGCGATATGACTGGAATTAAGCAGAATACAATGTGTTTCAATTAAGGTACTAAATATTAAATGTATTTAAAAAAATTCTAACATGTTTGAATAAAATTTTGGCTCAAGAAAATTAAAAAATACTGTATTTTTGAATTTTTGCCATTTTAATCAACATAGGCACTTATTATAATAAGAACTTAAGTTCTATATATAAAATGCAGAAGTAACTTTTTTCATGTGGAAAACAGTTAACTCAAGAATGTAAAAATTCAATCATACACATCATTTAATGTTTAAGGTGAAAATTATTCATTTCATTTAAAGTTTGACTTTTGGTACATTTCTGTACTATTTCTCTCATAAGGATTGAAAAGAAGCAAATAAACACTTGAATTAAAGGAATACTTGTTATCCAAATCAAAATTAACTTTAGGCAATAAATTTTTTTCATTTTAAAAATGTTCCAGCAAATGAAGCAGTTCATAACCAGTCTAGTTATGTTGGTCATTATGAATTAAAATATGAATATAGGTAATCAATGATTCAAGCTTAACTCAAGAACATCACCTTAGGTGATGCAAAATCGATCACCAACTAAAAATCATATCTGCAAGAAATTTTCAGTGAGATAATATACCTATAAATGTTTTAGAGGGTTTTAGTTACATACACAACACCCAAGGCAAGATAAATTTTATATGTTCTAGTTTTGAGTATGGGCTTAGTTGAAGAGAGCTTTAAAAAAGGACAACCAAAAAGAAATTTTATTAAAAATAGAAAAATTGCCCTGTTGTCAGTCACTCTTCGTTTAAAAACACAATTTTCCAATCCTAACTTTATTAGTGACCGAGAGAGAAGCAAGGATGTTAAAACTGTGTGTTTATATGCAAAAGAAGGGAGGATAATGTTTAAAGACTGTAACAGTTGTTTTTGTTCAAAAATATATTGAGATCAAAATTCTTTATAGCTCTAGTGGCTAAAAAGAACTAACAATTCCTGTCACACTTTTCTACACAAGTGAGCCACAATATTGCAGCACATGAATGCCCCAAAAACAATATTCAGCTGAACTTTGGTATCTCAAACACAGACATCTCGAATACCATGGATATGTCGAAGTGATTTTGAAGTTCTGAGCACTTTTTCTATAAGTATTTTACTGTAAATACCTTGAACCATGGGGGATCTCGAATTTCTTAGTCACACAGAGTTCAAGATAACGTGGTTTAACTTTATATCAAAATGAGTCCTCTCTAAGCAAATCACAGAAAAAATGCATGAATCCTTTGCAATCTTCTGTGAATGATCAGTGGGCTGATGAACCTTAAATCTACTAGATTTAAGGTTCATCAGCCCTCTGATCATTCCTATGAAATTTTTCTTTAACACTGAGTTTTCAAAAAGAAATCTAATTCATAAATAAATAGGAAAATAAATTTCAACCTTGCAGAGCAAAATTTGACAGAAATGAATTTTTAACTTGAACATTTTATAAGAGAATCTTAGACATTAATTCATCTCACTGAGAGTTATCGCACTTATCAGAGGGTTCACGAACCTTAAATCAAATGAATGTTATCAAATGCTTAGGTGTTATGATACAGTCAATTAATGGTTACTCCAGGCTGTGTATGAGATTTTTAACCTACTGCCTAGAGGCCATTTGATATGACTATAATCAATTTCTTCCATAATATCAAAAAGTGGTTGTAAAATAACACTTCTGTAGAAAAATAAAAACATGGATGATTTTAGCTTACTTTAACATAAATGCATCATAAAATATTAAAATACGATCTGACACCCCCCTTCAAATAAAAGGAAAAAATTTCAACAACCAAACATAATAAAATTGCATTGAAATATGGATGAGGAGAATCAGTGACATAAAATACACAAAAAATACACAAAAGAAAAGTACAAATACAGAAATATAAATATAAAAGTAAAGATAATATACATTACAATGTTATCACACTGGTTCGAGTGTCTTTTCGTCCTGTCAGCCAGAAATTGAACCAATTGTGTATAAAACCTTGGTTGTACACATTTTTGGTTGCAAAAAGACCATGTCTTAACATATTTCTTTGAGAGGCTATATGGAACTCCTGTGAAGTTAAGTTTTGACTGATTAATAAAAACTGGAATATCAACCCAAACAGCATAATGGTGGAGGCCAGGAATGTATAGCAGGTGCCAACAAAACTAGCAGATGTCCTGAAAAAAATAACATAACATGCAACGTTAAAATGGCTATAATTTGGTAATATTTTTCTAAGATGAAGATTTCACCTCTAAAATCCTAATAGAGTATAACTCGCTTACAACGAAGTGCCAGGGATGGATGATTTTGTTTTGTATAAACGTAATTTGTTATATCTATTAAGATCAAAATATATTTTAGAGGCATGGGGAATAAAAATAACTTCATTGTAAGGGTCAATTTATTATAAAGCATGTTCGCTATAAGCGTGTTTTACTTTAATTCATATCTTGATTAAATTAAACATTTTAAATTGCTTGTCACGAGTTATACTTATATTCTACTTATTTAATTAACAAGATAAACCACATGACATCATTTTTCAATTAAATTATCTCAAAAACTATAATTTTTCAATATATTAATTAATTTCTCTTGCAAACAACAATCTTTATTTTAGTGAGGCAGCTGAAAGGTATTTGCCCTTTCTTTATACATCCTGACAAACTTACTGAAAGTCAATGTACAGAAATCTGCAGTCATTGGGAAATAAGAACCAATCAAAATACATCTTAGGTGTGCAAAGTGTTGTCATGGAGAGATGGCATCCATAGTAACCACAGAAGACAAACAACATCATGGAGATTATGAAGCTCCGATGATTATCTGCTCCTATACACGTGTCAATCCTGTAAAATTGTTCAAATCCTATTTTTACTTGTCTAAATGTTTTAAAGATCTGTCCATATCATTGACAGAGATACATGTACTTAGTGGGGGCAGAGTGACAAAGAAGATGGCCCTTTGGGGCAGAGAGGCAAAGAAGATGGCTCTAATCCTCTTACTAAGTTATTTTTTATCTTTGTTATATTAAAGTGTAGAGATACTTTACTTAAATTTAGCATACAATCTGTTAAAAGCATTGCATTTTAGTAAAAATCTTTTTTTATATATAGCACAAAACAATACCCTACCTCCAGGTGCCATGATTTAAACAATTTAAAATCTACACTACCTTAAGTTTCATTTTTTTGACCCAGTGGTTCTTGAAAAGAAGATATCTTAATGACTCCAACTTATTTTTGCCTTGAAAGGGGGCTTGGCCCTTCATTTTAACAATTTAAAATCCCCTTTACCAAAGGATGCTTTGTACCAACTTTGGATAACATTGGCCCAGTGGTTCTTGAGAAGAATTCAAAAATGTGTAAAGTTTACAGACAGACAAACGGACACTGGACAACAGGTGATCAGAAAACGTCACTTGAGCTTTCAACTCAGGTGAGCTAAAAAGTTGAAAATAGTGACAACATACTGACAGACAACAAGTATCTGACCAGAAAATCCCACTTGAGTTTTGGACTGATTGAGCTCAAAAAAAATTCCTATGGGACTCTCCCAAACCATTTTATAGAGAGACAATCCAATATCTTACCAGACACAGTGGTGATCACGAACAGACACACAGACCTTACAGAGATTACAGTGGCCAGACCTGGGGGGTTTATTGAGGTTACAATGCTGGCACCACGTTACAAGTTTTCCATCTAAAAAAAAGAACAAATTGACAGTCTCTTTGTGTATAAATCATCAAAGGCAGGTTAGCTCTTACCAAGAATTCAACAACAACTGGTTATACATTATTGACAACATTACTTGAGAATTACTTGCACTATAAATACAATTACAAATTTTAAAGTCGAAAGGAACTAGTAAGATACCTGTGATGGGCCTAGAATCCAGCCATTTGACATCAGACTCTGGCAATTCAACAGCAGTCATTTCTTCCAAACTCATTGGAACTTTGAAAGTATCATCAGCATTCACAATCCGCCTGTCTGACTGATTCATCTTTTCAAAGTTTCTTGGTCTCTTTAAATTCTTAAGGTAGGGTGTATTCAGTTTAGTTCGCACAAAATTATACAGCATAAGAAACATAGCAGTTAGAAGAAGCAAATGTTCCCACAGCAGAATTTCACGGAAACCCACCACACACGACTCGAACACAACAAAGATAGTCACAACAGACATCAGTCCCCAGGAGTAGAAAAACAATGTCCTGTCTTTTTTAGTATTCCTCTTCCACATACGGTAAAACCATAGCAAGAATATTGGCATCATGGTTAACATCACGGCGGTCATCACAGGTCCAATAGTGGCTAAGAATAGACAAACTGGAATGGTGATTACAGGAACTATAACATCTAATCGTAACTTGATCGCCCCCTGGCCCAAGATTCCTGGCACTCGACAGCGGTCTTCTATGGTTTTGAAGAGTCGCTCCATTGTCTCTGGTGGTACTTGGCGACAAGTTATACACCTGTAATTAGTTGTTAATCTTTTACAGTTATTTTCAAAGTAAAGTTTCAATACATGTATCATACCATCCCTGATTCTATTCAATCACAATATTTTTCATTTAAATTATACATATCATGAGATTATAAGTATTCATAAAAATTTCACTCCTCACAATTTCACAATAGTTGTTTATTAATTAGATTAATATTACAGTTCCATGCATATAAACAAAGTTAAAAAAGTGAAAACTGCAAATACTTAGACATATAGATATACTGTAACTGTGCACAATTTTTTTTAACTTATCACAATAATTGTATGTATGGAACTCTCTAGTTGTTTATTTTGTAAACTACTGGTCTACAGCTACATTGTCTGTTCCGAGTAGTTCATCATTACCATGTCTCTTATTACTATAAGCCTCACCTGTCTGCAGCTTGATCAAAGGCTTCACAATCACAGCAGCAGGCCAAAATGTGGCTTTTCTCTCCCTGATTGTTCTCATATTCACAGCAACATAGGCCTTCAGTGCTTGAAGCATGTCCCTTCATCAATTACATTTCACAAGCCACTTGTCAGTTTTAGAATCCTATAATAAAGAAAATAGGTCACATCAGACAAAATTTGTGAAAACCCACATAAAGCTACCAAACCAACAAAACAGGGCCCTAGAGTATGTTCATAATCTTGACCCTCTAATTTTGATCTTGGATGATGTCAGTTCAAAAATCTTTGGGTGTTATCTGTGTAACAATTTCCAAGTTCATTTCCTACATACTATATAATAGCGAGCGCAGTGAGCGGCCGTGAAGCGCCGCTTGTCATTGCGAGATCTTAAAGCAGGGCCTGCATTGGCAAAGAGAAAATTCAGACTTTGCACATTGATCCAAAAGAATTTTTTCCCCAGTAACCACTAGACCCACAATCCTTTGCGAACTACATTCTCATGGTAACAAGAAAATTAAGTTCAATAAAAAATATACTCACCTGATTTAATGGATATTAAATAGCTAGATTAAACTTTTTTTTAAATTTAGCGCTGTTTAGGACTTGGATTGGTAATGCAACTTACGAACGACGTCATGTGACGTCAGAGTCCTTTGTACCAAATGTTGTGCGGTTGAAGAAACTGAATTAGTATCTGTGCTTGCCCTAACAGTTGCACAGTCAACGTATTATTTTTCTGTTGAAATAGATTTTTTTAAGTTCAAATCCTCATGAATTAAAATCAAGGATGAGTATCGTTAAAGTCACATGACAGTACTTTACATTGAGGAAGATAACTCAATTTAGTGACTCTCTAGTTATTTGGGGAGTAAATTGATTAAAGTATCAGTTTGCCATGAACCAGGTTCAATTTCAGTTTTCAAGTTTGATACAAATGATATTAGATTTAGAATAATTTATATTGATGTGGTATGAACACTGATAAATATAGATAAATCACTTTAATTGATTAAATTTTAAAATATATCTGGAATACCTATAACGTACTCTAGTTTAACTCTGTTGGTAGTACCCTTGAAAGTTGTTCCTGAACTACAGATCTATATTTGTATATGCGTCAGAGATTTAACGTGTGCAACGAGTACATATCCTGGATGACATGTCATAGTAAAATAACTCCCTTATACAATACTTGTATATATATTACTTTACAATAACACACTGTATATAGTTCATAAACGCTAACTAACGAGAATCACAAATACTAAAAGGCACATGTGTAAGATCAGGAGATAAAACATGCAATTAATGATTCCAAGTACTACAGACAACACACCTTGAGATAATCATACCTACTTTTTATACCTTCATACACAAGAGAGTTCCTAAACTGATTTTTGAGTTATTCCCCTTAGATTGTGGATTCTGTGAAGACTAATAAAATCTTTCAAAATGTTATTTTTTGTGAATATATAATAAATATAGTAATTATCTAATCCCTATTCATATTTTTTTGTTATTTTCTGTTGGGTGGGGGCTATGCCCATTAGTTTAAAATATATTAATTCATTACAAAATGAAATGAATTGAACAGCAGGCATAATGCCTATTTAATCGTTCTCTCCATAGGTCAAGGTACATATAACAATTATTGGTAGTATGTAAAATAGATCATTAATTGGCATGCGCGGATCTGGGGGGGGGGGGGTCCGGACCCCCCCTGGAATTTGCAGAGGTATTAAAAATACATACTGAAGAAATTAAAAAATTACTCTGGACCCCCCTAGAAAACGTGGATCCCACCATCACCACCACGAAATAGGTGTTTTTAAACGTTTGGGAAATGGATTTTATGTTAGGTTTTTTTTTTTTTTTTTTTTTTTTTTGCTTGCTTGTTAAGGAATTTTTGGGTTGGAAATTTTTTTTTGGACCCCCCCCCCCGGAAGAGATTCCTGGATCCGCGCCTGAATTGGTACATGTATAAGGTGAATCCAGAGAAAAAGAGAGAGAGAGAGTAAAATATAAGAGAAAAAATAATAAAGTACATTTAACATTGAAAAATCAGTATGTAAAGTAGATCATTAATTGGTAAATGTCTATATATAGTGAATCCACAGAGAGAGAGAGAGAGAGAGAGAGAGAGAGAGAGAGAGAGAGAGAGAGAGAGAGAAAAAACATAATAAAGTTGACCCAGAGTGGGAAAAATTCCTTAACATGCCTAGAATGAGATAATATTCTTCCTATAGCATATCATGATAAACTAAGATTTCAGTGAAAACCTCTTTGAGTTTCTTATAAAGGTATGTACATGATCAAAAAATGAAAAGTTGTCTTCTAAGCATAAGGAATCAGCACCATATAGTATACATTAATGTGGTATGTCATTCTCATTCATATATTTAATCAGCATCTGTCTATGAAGAACATATTGTGGACAATACATGATTGAAAAAATGTAATTAATCTTCAGCTTGGTATCCACAATTTGTACATTTTGGTGAATCACTAAGGTGCCCATTGATTGAACTTGAACAATATATCATGTCCATATCTATAATTAATGGATCTAAAATTGTGAATAGATTTTAAAATATCAGAATTCCAAAATATTTCGCCACTTACATGTACATTAACAAGTTCACGTAAACATGTTTAACAGTCAACAAACAGAGTAATTAAGCTTCATATCCTCTATTTCATTGCTTTTTTCACACAAGACCTAAAACACCTATAATGTGGGATCAGCATAGGTTTAATCTAGCTAGGAGATCGAGGGGTCGATCCAAGCCCCTAGGATCGTCCGTTTTTTACAGTACGAAATCAAGACGGTTCGATAGCCTGGGACTCACAACAATTTAAAAAGAACATTCAATTTATATAGTTATTATAAAATTATAAGAAATTTCAACCAATTCTATATTTGAACTTTTTTGCTTCGGTACTTAAATTTTAAATTTTTCTAGAGACACCCCCACAACCTAAAGAAATAGGATTTTGGAGTTTGCCACTTTTCTTTTTTTCACAAGTTTATTTATTATTTACCCAACCATATACCTGCGATTTCATGGCTTTTTGATGCGTTTCCATAATTTGTTCAGGATTCAGATTATGGTTGAATTTAATGCAGGCCTGTAGCAATGGGGGAGGGGGGGGGGCAAAAAAAATGAAAAAAATCTGACAAACAAAAAAACCTAATTAACTGTCCAAATTCTGGAATTTCCCATTGCTCGACCTACAGCAACAAAGTGGGGGGGGGGGGGGGAGGACAGTATCTAAAGGATAATTTACTATACCTAATTGGCCTGGAATGTTTACATACATGTAATTTGCAGCGAAATAATATCTTTCCAAAGCACTAAGACCATTTTTTTAATTTGAGAAAATTTTAGAAAAAAAAATTGAGAAAAAACATCATCATCATCATCATCATCACAGATCTTGTGATTTTTGTTTTAAACTTTTAATTAGCCAAGTACTATAGAATAAATGGTTAGTTTGAACATATTTTATTGTAATTTCTAATTACAAAGGGATTTGGCACAAGTTCTAAAAACTTATTCGCCCTCTCCCTACATGTTATTAAGATTAAATAAGGTCACAGTTAAATATGTACATTCAAATTATTCAATATTTGTTAAATTTACAAATCAATGCATTTTAAAGAATCATACTATTACATATAATTTTGTATATACATGTATATAGAAATAAATATATTTATATTATTACTAATACTAATATGTGAATCTGCCTGAATGTTTAATAAAAGTTTTAACAATAGAGAAAAGATGTTCATTCTCCGTAGCACTCAATGAATCTATCCCCCATATTAAGACATGTGTATCTAAAATGTGAATTTTATCAAATAATAATTTTTTTTTCAAGAAATTTCTTCCTGGCTTCTTTATACTTTGGACATATAAAAAAAAAATAATGATTAACTTGTATCTTCTTTTTTGCCACATAAGCATAAGGACTTGAGATGAAATTACACCTGCAAAGGTCAATATTCAATGCACAATAAATGGTTCTGATTCCAAATATTACCGGTATACTATATTCACAATCGTCTAAAATTTATAATGTGTACATGAAAAAATGCATTGCCCCAATTTTGTAGAAAATACATTTTTTTTTTTTTTTTTAAAATTACTTTACTTTTGCTTACGTACTGAAATAAATTTTCATCTAATTCTATAATAGGTGAAAAATTGCATTAAAGTGTAGAATTTGCATGAAATAAAATGCCTTTTTACCACCAGATTTCCCCCCTTAAAACTTGTAGTTGAGCAAATCTCACCGTAGTATTTGGGCATATTATTTTATTTAATTTTTTAATTATTATATATAATTTTTTTTTGGGGGGGGGGGTAAAAACAATGTATTATTAAAGTTTACTTCATCCCAGTATTAAAGAAATATATAACAATGAATTAAATAAATACTGTAGTTTACATCGTGATTGTTTCAGATAAAAGGACTGATTTAAATTAATTCATCAAGTGTAAAACAGTAATGTTTCGCTCATTATTTGTGAATTTGACTCGATCACCATCACTGACGCCATAGATGTTGGATTCAGAGCGGGATATTTATATATTTTGGTACCAAAGCAGTATGATGAGTACATGAGTATATCTAATTGTTATGGTTTAATTTAAGTGACTCTGTCCAAGTTTCTTTTCTGTGCAACGCGTATTTCAATATTTTCATCCGGGGTTTTCTTTTCCCATTCGGGACACCTCGTTTGCATAGGTGTGAGGTCACGAAAAATTGATTGATGCCATTTACTAAAACATAAAATGATTGCTGTCCGCGTATTGCATTTGACACCTGTGTTAGCGCGGTGAAAGCACCTTTCTTGGAATATTCAGGTGAGTTATTTTACATGACTGGCTATTTTTAACGTAGAACTCAGTTGTAGTAAGTAGGCCAGTACGCATGATGCTTCTTTATTATGAATGAATGGAATATACCTCTCACATTCAAATCTTGTTGGTTATTTTTTACAGCTGATTTTGGGATATGGAGCTAGAGTTATGTGCATTTGATGCTGGACTCGAAAACGTAGAATTCTTTAGCCCAGAGAGGTCCAAACCGGGGAAAATGCAAAAAGCCCGTTTGAGAATACCGAAAACGGTAAGCGACTCCATTCATAAGTCAACTTCATTCATAAATTTAAAGGGGCACCAGAGGGGATGAAAGATTACTGATAACGTATATTTTTAATAACGAGGTATTTCGCATTGAAGTATATCAAACGTTTTTAACAAACTCTATTTAGATAAATAAAAATATTAAAATCAGTATTTATGTCTTTGATAATATTTTAAAAAGGCCTAATTTGTATAGATGTTATTCTCCATTCATCATTTGACATTGAGTACCTGCAGATGAATTTTTCATGAAAAACTATAATAAAATTTTAAAAAAATGTTAAATTATAAATATTATTTATAAATTAATCAGAGAAAAGAATTCAGTAATGAAAATGATATAATTCCACAGTGTCGATTAAAACATGTTAAATTCGCACTTGCTCTTATTACAATATTTGTGTATTTTCTGTTTCACTTTAAAAGGATGATATTTCAGATAGAATTTGCTGCTTGGCCAAATTTCTTTAGTCAACTATTTGATTTGACTTAAACATATTTTTTTGAAAAATTCAATAAGGATGGGGAAACAGGCAAAGCCTATGCATACCCTCTCCTTGTGTAATAGATCAAGACAAAGATAATAAATAATAGTACAGTTGAACTTCGGTGTCTCGAACACCAATATCTCAAATACTATGGATATGTTGAAGTGATTTGAAGTCCCAACCACATATTCTTGAAGTATTTGACCCTTGATATCTCGAATCCTCGGATATCTTGAAGTTTTTTCTTGGTCCATTCGAGTTCAAGATAACAAGGTTTGACTGTACTTGTATACATGATAATAAATATGCTGATAATCAAAAATAAAGATTCACAATCAAGTATTATTCATCAGTATTATATATATATATATATATATATATATATATATATATATATATATATATATATATATATATATATATATATA